TCCAGCCATTTTTGGTGCAAATTGTGTTCCACCATTTTCTTCAGTGTTAAATGTGTGAAGTTCAGTATTGCTCAAAGGGTAGCTGTGAAACATAAATTTGCTTCAAATTAGAGTATTAACAGATGTGGTAAATTATATCTGAGTTAGAACAACACGAACAATAATATTGTCATCTATAATAAATAGTCCTATAAATGTATTTAGTACATGTGTATTGTGTACTTTCTCCAGGTTCATCATCCTATTCACATCACCCTGGTTTTTCTGATCATCACAACCACACAAAATGGTTTCCGAGTGTTACATCATCATGGTTTGAGTGTGCATAAACCTCTATCAAACATGGGATATGTCTTCTAATTGGCTCCAAATTCCATGCACTTCCTCTATTAGTTTCTTTGATGTATTTCTGTACCACATTTCTGAAACCAAGGAAGTTGTTTTATACAAAGTTCAGTGTGTGTAAAATAAAAACATAGTAAAACATTAAGAGCACCAAGCTTGAAGGCTGTGTCTTGGCTCACTTCCTGAAGACAGAGATGGCGAGAATGAGTCACAACTCCAAAGGGAGTATGTTCTAGACCCCCGGAGCAATACAATACTCTGCCTTGACCTACTCAGGATAATAAACCTTTATCTGTCCTACACATTTTGAGAATGCAGGTGAGGGTTCAAATGATTGAATACTCCTCCACTGGGGGAAAAAAATCCCTGCACACAGAAAACAACTATATGTATGAATATATTCAGCTTCAGTTTCTCCCAACATGGTACTTCTTTTTTGCTTTTTTCCCCCTCATTGGGGAGCATTTGACTAGCAATCTGAAATTGGATAAACATAGGTTTACCAGTTCAGCTGGACTCGGGGGTGGGCAATCCATGGCCCTTCAGATGTTTGGACTACAATTCCTATTATTATTATTATTATTATTATTATTATTATTATTATTATTATTATTATAACATTTCTATGCCTATCAGGCCTAGCCAGCATAACCAATGGTGAAGAATGATGCATATTGTAGGATGAAACACCTGAAGGGTCACAAAGACAACTCCCCACACCTGTCATGTTATTCAGGATAATAAGCCACTGGTATTGCTAGCAAAAGGTTTCTGGAGAAACTACTTACCACAGAATTTAAAAATGGTAAAATTTAAGGTAAATTTGAAAATTCATGTCCAAACACCTGGCGATTTCAAAAGAACACCTTTTGCAAGAGTAGCAAAGTAGCTCAATGCATGTTGGTCATTCATATTAAAGTAACTGTTGGTTGTTACATATCTTGTTATTTTAAAAAAAGTGGGAGACAGACAGACCCAGTTGAGAAGCCTGCTTCTCTTTCTGGTATGCCACAATTATATAGCTGTCATACAACCAGAAGCAAGCAATCAAAAATGTTTTAAATAGATCTGAAACTCCTTTCAGTTGCTTTCTGTGTTTCTTCATGTCCCATTGATTTTCTCTCCTCTTTTTCTTGTTTCGGTTGTACCTTTTTGTCTGGTTTTTATTCTTCTTGTCTGCTTGAATCCTTTGCTGGAAAGCAAGTTCCTGGATTAAAAGTGAAGACCACAAACCTTTTCTTAAATGAGAGCTTTACCTGGAATGGGGTTGGAGTATAGACTACCAATCCTCAAAACTATAAGCAGTTCTTGCACAATAAAAAAAAATGTATAGGAAAAATTGACAAATACTATGTTAAGAATGATTATGGGGTGCAGAAGATTTCACTGGGATCATATGTACTTAAGAGCACTGTCACATTCAATGTTCTACATCAAAACTGAACTTCCTTACAGAAGGGGTGGATCCTTAAGGCACTGCTAATGTACTGATTGAAGCAAGAGTAAATTGGATGTAGATCCTGTTAAACACATTGCAATCAATGGGACTTACATTAATCAGGACTAACTTAATTCATATTTCATTCAGTCTACTGTAGATATGTGTAAATCCTGGATGGGGAATGTTGAGAATTGTAGAAAATTTTACTGTCCAAACATGAATAGGTTTGTGCTTTCAGCTAGTACCCAACCCAATGTTTATACCAGGGGTCGCCAGACTTGCTCGACAGAACAACCATGTACTGTTGTAAGCCGTCCTGAGGTTATGCAAAGGACAGGTTAGAAATGTTTTGAATGAATGAATGTCAGATGCTTGAGAGCCACAAGCAGGTGCCTGTGGGTAGTGGAAAGTGGGGTAGCCACAGCAGTGAATGGAGGGCTGCAAAATACACTCAAAGAGACACATGCAGCTTCTGAGCCTCAGGTTGGACACCCCTGTGCTATATAGACTCCTGTTTTAACGGTTGGCTTTTCAAAGCTGGAGCAAACTGTGAAGGTATGACTATCAGTGGAAGATCTGAACAAGCTGGAAAACTTTTATATCTGTGCTGTACAAGTCAAAAGATAGTGAATTTCATAAGTAGATATTGCAGAGTTTTAGTACCCAAAACCCAGGGACCAAATTCAGCCCTCTTGGGGTTTTCCAAATGGCCTCTCTTCCTTTTTCTCAATCAGCACTGTGTATCTGTGAAGGCTTCACACATGTTGCATTGCTCTTATGTCAAGGCAACTGGATTCTCGTCTACCCTCCAGACAAATCTTCCCATGATATTTCAGATATTGGAAGGAAAAGTAAGTATCTCCAACAGATTGCAGTTATTTATTCCAATGAACAGCTGACATTTGGAATTATTTATAGCAATGACTCCTATTTTTGACAAGCTTAGTGACAAATGGATTTATTTGATCTTCATTCAGTGTATAATTCATAGTATTAGTCACTTTGGCTGATACCTGTATATTATTTACTGGAGATACTTATATTTCACTGTGAGATCTATTTGGCAATGACTTTTGTAACAAATCAGAACTGAATAGTGGCAGTCTGAACCGAGCAGAAGTAGAAAGTCTGCCCCCTCTGACTCTTCTTATGGCTAGCCCTCATCTTTCCCATGTGAACAACACTAAGAAAAGTTTGAACAAAGCTCTCCTCTTATTACTCCATCATTCTGTTCTTTGCTCAGTTCTTTGTTCTTTGCTTGAATCAGAAGCAAAAATCAGATGTTAAAACCCTACATGACTGGACCACAGCTGCTCATATGGTGGTGGGCTTGTATCTTAAAAGCACCACTGTGTGATGCAGGAACTGCTCTCACAACATCAATCAGTGTGTCTAAAAGCTATAGTAAAACACTAATAGTGTTATGTTAATGATCTGCACCTGCATCAGCCAGACTTTGGGGCCACTGTGAGGAAGAATCTGATTTGGTTGTACTGCTTGATGGCCTTGCCAAGGAAACAGGGAATATCCTCCTTGATCCTCAGATGCCATGGATACCACCAGCTATGGTACTTCTCCAAACTGCCATTTACGGTATCTTAACCTTATATTTAGTGTGGTTCCATCCATCAGATTTATTTCAGAAGGTGGTACTTGTTCACTGTGGCTCCACTACATGCAAGCTTCCATTCTGTCTACCCTCCTTTTCATCCTCTATGTCAGTGGTTCCCAACCCTTTTTATGGCCACCACCCCTATGTTTGAATTTTGTTTGCACACTTTGCAAAGTAGTACATCTGAAGGTGTACTACAAATTTCAATTTTTTTAACCACAAATTGAGACACAGTAGTATGGGTGAACAAATTGAATTCACAAAAATAAGCTTTTAACTCAGTGCATAAAATTCAAATATAAATTGAGCAATTAGAAGAAAATATAACCAATAAAATCAATCCCAATTGCAAACATAAAATTCAATTACTTCTTTGTTCCTTCTTTTCATTCACAATTTTATCAAAATGTGCAGCTTTCTTGCTGATTGCAATCTGCAGTCTACAAACATACAAACGAGGTTGAGGCAGAGGGTTACTAAGGTTTTATAATGATGTGTAAATACATCTCCTTGATGTGTTGTAGAAACCATTAAACAAGGATCATCCTCTGGCTGTGGATCCATTTTTTAAAAGGGGAAGTTTACATATAAGGTTAATGAGCTGTGTACCAGCTGAAATAAGCCTTTGGCAATGGACTGGAAATTGTACCACCTATGGAAAAATTGATTGTGTAGGGCAGGAGTCCTCAAACTTTTGCACCAGGAGGTCAGTTCAAAGCTGCCGATGCTGGGTGCGGGCTGGAAAGGTGGTGCCTGGTGGTGTGCGTGGGTCAGCGAGGGGGCGGGGTGGCGTATGTGGGTGCTCTGAGGCGGGGGCGGGGCACGCAGCGAGGCAAGGTGAGGCGAGACACAGGAGGGCATGTGCAGCAAGGCGTGGGCATGCATGTGTGCCCAGCGAGGGGAGGCGAGGAGGGCATGCACCTCGAGGTGGGCACACGAGGCAGTAACTTGCTCGCTTGGAGATCGTTTTCTCTGACTGCGCAAACCACTGTCTCCTGCACTCGGGACAAGGTGGGTGGTGGCAGGTGTGCACGTGGACGCATTCACGTGGGCGTGTGCATGGCAAGTCCAAATGGGCATGGCGGACTGGATAAATGGGGATGGTGGGCCGCATCCAGCCCCCAGGCCGTAGTTTGAGGACCCATGGTATAGGGGATAATGGACACTTGTGTGCTTTCAGAGTCTAGGTTTAGCCACCATGGACTGTGCTCAGGAGCACATTGAACCCAGTTGCTAGCACAATGGGACTGCTGCAGATTTGTACACTTACCTTTTTGTAACCTTTTGGCATGCCATTCTCATGCAAGGTAGTTGCTTAACTATGAGGGAGCACCTGAAATGTCTGGATATGGTCACTCCAATTGTGAGAACATTTTTTGAAGTTTCCTCTTTTTTGGACACATTTGCTACCATATTTTCAAACAATGTGGTCTGTATAATTAAGCCATGGGAACTACAACTTTTCTGCATGTATGTTTAGAAGTACTGTAAAGACCCTGTGACTTTATGTGTATTTTTCTAAGGCTGGTAGAAAAGAAGGGTGCAGAATATAAAATGCCAAGACAATGGAAAATATTCATATTTATTGTTTGTACTTCACATGTACAGAAATCAAAACAAATGTTGTAATAGCATTTGTAAACATACATTAAATAAAAAACCTATCAATAAACTATCAAATCTCTGCTCTGAAGGATGTAGGTTTACTACTATTTAGAACCTTGGATTCAGTAAAATTGAATTTAAAACACCAATACTTTTACAATATACACAAAATATAAATATTCCTTAGTTCAATCACTCTTTTTTAGAACCACAGCTTCAAGGCCAAATTAACATGTGAACTCAAGTTGGCACTGTTATTTCCACATTCAAGAGAAACAAAAGTATCAATTTCAGGTTTACATGTCTAAGGCACCTGAGTATACAGAATCCAACTCTATGGAATCTGAATTTATTTATACATATCTTTATTTAAACCAAGGGCAGGCAACCTGGCACATTCCAGATGTATTAGACTACAACCGCCATAATTCCCAACCACTGGCTATACTGGGGGAATTGGGAGCTGTACTCCAAAACAACTGGAAGGCACCCACTTGCCTGCCCTTAGCCTAACCATATCCAACCCGAATGAATTTCTATCAATGGTGAGAAATCAGGACTGTGTCACACAATTCCTCTTTGCCCCAGCCAGATTCCTAGTGCAGAATGACTGCACAACAGAGCTATGACTGGAAAGGAGCCTGTGAGCCTGAGAACTGGCCCAACTTGGTCCAAAGGACTGGCGGTGAAATAGAATCGGAACAAGGCTTAGCCTGAGAGGCTTCACCACGTTAAGATATTCCTTCTTTCTCCTGCACTTCTACTATCTAAAACCACAATAACAATCTAATGAAAGGTAGAACCCACCTGTTAAGGCACTGTTTCTGGCATCACATAGACATATTACAGAAGAGCAGCAAGTATAACATCATTGAATCTGAATGGTCAGATGCACTACATAAAAAATATAAAAACTCTAGTGGTTTCCTCATACTTGTTAACATGGCACAAGAACCTGCACTGTCATTTGGGAATAAAACAGATTTTTGTTTTAAGCATTTGATTAGTTACCTGAATCCCTTTATCAGTGGTCATTAATTCATGTCTACAATCATCTTGGCTTCTGATTCCACTATCACTCAAAGCAAAAACAAATTTAAAAAGATGACATGATTGTTACTCGATCTGATTCATAAATCAAATCAAAGAATAGATGAATAAAGCATAATGTGTAAACGGCAAGAAATAAACATTAGAGTGCTACATAAAACTAGGATGTAAAAAATCCCTCAAACTGAGCTACCTGCAACACTGCAGAATTAGGACACTGGAATGCTTTGTATTTCCTAGCTTTTCCAAAGTACAGGAACTATAGCTTGCAAGAATGCCTAGTTATAGATTATGACACCATTTTATTTGCAATGTACAAAGAACATTTCATGGAATGTGCTGAGGATTTGGGAAGGTACATGAAGTTAAAAGACAGTGATTTCTTAAAGGGTTGTCATCAGCTTATCCTGATACAACAGGCTCTGGATCCCACCTAAATTCTTCTGATTCTGTTCCTGGATATACCGTAAACTGCTGTCCTCTCCACTTAGGGATGGTTTCCAATAGTGTCTGTCCTCATGATAGGGTGGCCTGAACCATGCAGACAGTGATGGTGAATGGGAAGCAGAAAGTAAAAAGTTATGAATGAGAAAATAAATCAGCTTATCACACATGCCCATGAAAAATGAAACAATTATGAGACTGTATAAATGGAAAACACGAGTGCAGAATAAACCTGAGTGGAAAACTAAGAAGTGAAACCAGATGGGGCACCATCTTCAAGGAAGTTCACCTGTAAAAAGCCCCACTGCAATAACTGGGAGCAAGAGAAGTGCTCACGGACGTCTTGCGTGACTCCAAGTCATGGGGGCTCATACAGAAGAATTTTCCAGAGGCTATTCAAAAATGTTTTTTCCAACATGAGGATATATCTCCCATTCAACATCATATACAGTCAATTGTGAAGTGCAGTGTTAGTGCCTATTTTGCCCCATGTACCCCAGTTGGGATGTTCATGTGAACAGCTTGATTTCCTCTACAGAGGAATTATCTCAGTGAAGAAAGCTGTTGCATGTAACAGTTTAATAAATTTGTCAAGGCTCAGTGTCATTCTTCACACCTTATATAGTGGAACATGTTTTTAGGTATACACTTAAGCAACTTAGACATACACCTTTAAAAAGTGTGAATGGTCCCTCCTTTAATAGGCTTTTGATGCCTTGAAAATGTGCTAAAATAGATGCACTCCACTCATTAGAGAGAGTGGCTATGAGTATTATGGACAATGTGGAAATGCTGCAAAACCCTGCTTTGAGCGCTCCATTCCATCTAATGCATAGCCACTCATATTAAAGTTATGTCATCACATAACTCTTACATGACTCATACTGTCCTGTAAAATGCAGCAGGGAGTGAGGAGCCTCATGACCCTGCTAATAACTAAGGATTTAAACCTATGTGAGTTTGGACAGAAAAATTTCCTGCACATACAGCATGTCTGGCTGGGGAATGCTGTGAGTTCAGCAAAAGATTGCACCTGAAGTTACATGTAGAAAGCCTGGAGGGTAGGGGGCAATGCTTTACGCATCATCCACGTATTTCCCACAACATGTTGTTACACATATTGCCCACAACATGTTTTTACACGTACACATAGTCTTTCCAGAATGACTTTAATAAAAATACTGAGTGGTGTTTAATATTAGATATTGTAATGCAGTAACCTCAAGGTACAAGTATCTCCTGCACATGACCTATTGAACTGAATGCAACTATGTAACATTTCAGTCTCCTAGAGGTGTCTCCCAATTCCTTCCTTGCCCCTCAAAACAAAATGGGACATGGTGTTCATGCAGTCAAATACAGCCTGGATTGGATCAGATCCAATGGCAGTTCTATTTAGAATAGAGTCACTGTAATGAGTAGGACATGAGAGGATGGGTGATTGCTTCAACAGGTATGAGCATTTTGCCTTTTGTCACTTTGTGAATTCATGACTGAACTGAGGACTTCCTGGAACATGGCACTCACACTTAGCCTCTATGCTATATCAAGTTATCCAATTACCCACTCATGAATAACTACAAAAACCTGCTAACTGAACATTGTAGTATTCTTTTCTTCACTGTACAAAGTGATTCCATATCAAAACAGCTGATCACTTACCTTACAGTCACAGGAGGATGGGGGTGCCAGTGTGACTGACCAGGACACATATTTGGGTGATGCGAGGGCTGGAAAGCAAATGTGAAACTTGGTTACATACATATTTGCAATTATGCTACACAGGCAGAATAGTCTATGGTAGCTTAAGAACAAAAAATAAAAACAAAGTGAGTCAGAAGGGGCCTCCCGGGCCATCTAGTCTGATCCCTGCCCCCAGCTGGCTCTGCTCATGTAATCCCAACATGTGGTTGTCCAATCTTTCCTTGAACACCCTCACTGATGGGGTCTCAACCACATCCCTTGGAAGCCCATTCCATATCCAAAGAAAAAAAAGTGTTTTATTCTCAGTGCAGGAGAAAATTGTCTGTAAACCAGCCATTAAATCATTATATTAACTAATAACAGTTCTGTCAAATTCAGAGGTTTTCTTGAATGATGAGGTTTCCTTTTACATCTAGCCTTTTGATAATGTTGGGCTGGACTTAGATGTGCACTAGATAGGAATGAAATGGTAGATCCTTTAGGAAATGTTAGGGAGTACTTGGAATGCTTCGTTGCATAAAGAAGCTTCCTACAGTAAGAAAACAAGCACAGAAGAAGGGAGGCATTTTATCCTTCTGTCCTACTTTTTGAGTTGCAATGAGGTTTAGCGAGAGGCATGCAGAAAAGTACCTCTTGCAGCTAGAACGTTACAGTCCATTACTCTATTGCAAGTCCTGAAGAGACACGTCAAATTATTTGCCCCAAAAATGTATTATCATTAAAAAGTCATGTTTTGGGGGCTACCACATTTATCTATTGATTACATTTCCATACAAACTTCTGGGCTGTTCACAAAACAGAATGTAAAACCATATATGAGTATAGCAACATAGTAAAATGTAATATAAAAACCTTATGCCTAAAATAGAAGAAAACAGAACTAGAAACCAAGATAAAAGCTTGCAACTTTGGATGACTGCAAAATTCCAAAAACTCACTAATGCCATTTTAAACTGAAGAGTTAAAAAACTTAGGAAAATAAAAAGGCCTTTAACTGGCACCAAAAAGATGACAATGTAGATACCAAGCATGCCTCTACTGGGAGGGCTTTCCACAATTCAGATGCCATCATTTAAAAGGCCTTCCTTATAATTATCTACCTTACCCCATTTCGTGGGAAATACCTGGAAAAGGCCAAGTATATATGGAAGGAGATGACTCTTCAGATAACCTAGCCTAGAGCTGCTTAGGGCTTTGTGCATTGATACCAGTACTTTCAACAGGGAGCAGAAATGACAGTGAAGTAGGTGGAATTTCTAGAAGATGAGTAGAAGGACTCCTCTCTTTCATGGTTACTTCTAAATGGTTATGATATCCATGGGAGGCAAGGGCATCAACACAAATTTCTGTGGCGTGGAGGATGCGCTGTATCAAACTAGTTACCCATACACCTGCTTCTTTCAATAATCTGTTTAAGACAGGGGTCCCCAAACTTTTTCAGCAGGGGGCCAGTTGAAAGGTGCCGGTGGTGGGCATGGGCCGGCAAGGTGGTGCCGGTGGCGTGCGCATGCAGTGAGGTGGGATGGGGCGCGCAGGTGCGGCAAGGGCAGGCACATGCGGCAAGGAGAAGCGAGGTGAGGACAGGGGTGCGTGGCGAGGCAGCGGCAGGCGTGTGAGGCAGAGGCTTGCTCGCTCAGAGATTGTTTTCTCTGAGTGAGTCCAAAACGATCTCCGCGTGAGCAAGTCGCTGCCTCCCTGAGTGCACAGCAAGGCGGCGGTGGGCGCGTGCGAGGCGAGTCCAAAACCTCAGGCGGGCCAGTTAAATGGGTATGGCGGGCTGGATTCGGTTAGCAGGCCATAGTTTGTGGATCCATGGTTTAAGACAATAGCCAAAACACCCTAGCATACTTGGCTGCACATGAATAAAGGTAAAGGTAAAGGTTTCCCCTTGACATTAAGTCCCATCGTGTCTGACTCTAGGGGCGGTGCTCATCTCTGTTTCCTGGCCGAGGGAGTCAGCATTTGTCCGCAGACAATCTCCATGGTCATGTGGCTAGCATGACTACACACCGAAGTGCACGGAACGCTGTTACCTGCCCACCGAAGTGGTACCTTTTTATATACTTGCATTTGCATTCTTTCAAACTGCAAGGTTGGCAGGAGCTGGGACAGAGCAATGGGAACTCACCCCGTTGTGCAGATTCAAACCGGCGACCTTTCGATCTACCAGCCCAACAGCACAGTGGTTTAAACCACTGCGCCACCTGCAGTCCCAGCACATGAATACAGAGACATATATACAAGCATTTCAACTGTGTTCAAATTGGCATTAGACACTGCACATGTTGGTGATGACAACTGTGACAGACTGATGGTGTTCCCAGGAGAATTTGAAGAGTCTAAGAAGTTTCTTGCATTACACAGGATAAATCTAATTTTGCCACTAAGAGACAAGCAACTGCCTTCTTCATGCATTTATATTTACAGGCACTAATCTGAAAAACACAAATTTGATCCCATTCCTTACTCACACTTCCATTTTCAAGTGTGTGCTTTGACACAGATCAGCTTAATGGAAAAGAACTTTCTTTCAGAGGATCTCCCTGGGTTTCCAATTTAAAAAATCCTTGGAAGGTCAGCTTTCTCTCAGACATAGCTTCATTTTGGTTAAAAGTCTAAACTACTTTGCAAACACTGGTGCACTGAACAGAAAGGTATGCAGCAAGCACATACTCACACAATATTCAAAAACACAAATAACTGAGGGGGTATGGGCAAGCAGGTACCAAACTGTCAGGTAACAAAAACAAGTCAGTATTCCTCTTACCTGGTAATTATGGATTTCTGGATTATTTTTTGCACTGAAACAAAAAGAAAAATCAAGATTTGTTGTTGGTTTTGCAATGCTCTCACAGAAGCATGTCTGAGCCACAAGTAAGCCAAACCAGGCAAAGAAAGTATTGCCAGCAGACAACATCTTCTGATAAAAACCATCTACCTCTAAGATTCCAACAGGGAAAGTCAGTTTATGCTTTAAAAGCACAAGCGTTAGGATAGCAGCTCAAGAGACCACAACTAGAAGAGATGCTTTATAGTGCACGTGGCATCCATTTCCCTCCAGCCATCTTTCACATAATCCCCTATTAACAGTATTCACAATACTGATTCCCTCCCTCCCTCTCCCTCTCTCCCTCACACACACACAGAGCTGACCAATATGCTCTTCCCTCTCTCAGAATCACATATTAGCAAGCTCCTTAGATTTTGCATTACAATTATTTTTAAACTATCCATTAATAAAGTATTCATTAGGAAATATAGTAGCACTTGACAGAACAGCAACCTCACCATTAAGAAAGTAAAGCTGAGTGTCACTGTTAACCATAATGGACTTGCCTCCCAAAACTTAATGAAATAGCTAAGGGAACATATTTTACTGGGCCAAATCTGATAGAGAAATACAGCCACAATGCAGTTGCACAGAATTAATCTTATTAGGAATGAAATAATTTAAGAATCTGCCTTCCGCAAAAGCTTGCAGCTGTTTCCTCTAATAGCTTTCAGTATCTTCCTTTTCAAACATAAATCCCATCTCTCCTCCTGCCTTACTGATAATTAAGGATTATTGGATTATAAGGATTGGGCATCTGCCCTTGGCTGGCTTGGGCAGAAGTAGAGGTCTGAGCACCCTAGCCACGCACCAATGATGGCCCAAAGATGGTGACTGGCTGCAGCTGTGTCTTCCTCTGCTCTTGGGCTGCTGTCTGCCAGTCCAGCAGCTCTGATGGTTGTGGGGAGGAGAAGCAAGAGGAGGCAAGGCAAAATGGGTCTTCTGGTGTTAAGTGAGTGCAGAGGCCCGGAATGAAAAGCAAGGCACGGTGTTGCAGGCACTGGGGTGGACAGCCCTTGGCTGGCTCAGACTGAAGTAGAACTAGAGCACCATAGCCTCAAACCCAGATGTGGCCCTAATGGTGGTGACTGGCCACAGCTGTGTCTTCCCATGCTCTAAGGAATTTGCATATTTTTACATGGAATCTGCTATCCCCACCACCACCATGAAATCATAAATCACTCTGGTCTCAAAAAGTCATGGATTCACCACTTCACCATGTTGTCATGCCACGGACCCCTATGGATGCAAGCTTTCTTTCTTTTTTTTGGTAGGGAACCCAACCCCTGCAAACCTCCATCAAATGATGTCACCTCAGTATCCCCAGATGAGTTTTGTGATTTGCATGTGATATCTGTTGCCTCTCACTAAAAATTACTGAGGATCTGTTCTTTGGATCAAGTTTTAATTTCATGGCAGTGTTGACAAGCATCCTCATCCTTCATATTAATATTATTTACTGTTATTTATTATTTAATCGATGGAGATGACTGCGGTCTGTGACTTGATGGTAATTTGGAGGTCACCACAGGGAAAAATGCAGCTTTTGTGAGCACGAATGGACACACTTTGTCTGTGTCTATGTAGGAGGAGAAGCTGTCAGGGTAGGGATCACAGCACTTTCTCCAAAAGGCTGACCCCAAATTATTACCAATCCAGCCCAGAAATGTCATTCTTTGCTGATATCTTATTTCCTTAGCTCACAAACTGCCTGTGATGACTGAGGGCAAAGTGACATTTAGGGATATGATCTTGCCCCAGAGGCTTCTAATACAGAACTCTCATTGCAGGTAACTTTCCCCAGGGATCAAGCCATACACTGCATGATGTCAAACCAAAAAATGAATCGAAGTCATAACACTTACCAAAGTTGGGATGCTTTGAGAGCATTGCTTGCTTTAAAGATGACAAAGAAAAGCAAAGTTAAATAGCATTATTTTTAAAGGCACACTCTTTTATAGAGAGAGTTTTATTACTTTTATCTTTTATATAGTCTTTTATTACTTTGGCAATGAAGAACATGCAGCAAGTAAAGTCGCAGAAACGTAGGGGAATGAATGCATCCTTGCATGCATCCTTGGTCGCTCTGCCCTCCATGTAGCCCCTACTCATCTCACATCCACAAGTTAATCACCCTTCTAAGAAAAAAAGGGTGATTCAAATAAAACACCACATGAAATTGAGAAAAGCCAACTGACTACATTTGAGGTCCACTTTTAAAAGACAATCTGTAAGGCCACTTCTTTCCATGCAAATAGTCCGTATCAATGTCTGAAAACAGCTAGTACAGCAAGCTTGGCTCACACAAATATTTTCCAAACCATTAATAATCTCAAGTGGGAGAATTTGGATGGGGAACTGAAGCAAGACCATTGCTGGATCTGACATTTTTAATTCTCTGATACTGATTAGTCTGTCTCTATGAGTTATGCTTCTCCATACTAAATAGCCCATTTCTTTAGGGTGTCTGCTTGTGTTTCCAAACTGGAGAACACTGTTCATATAAAGGCTCTGCTTTACTTTTCAAGTGTTTCTCAGAACAAATGGAACAGAAAAGGGACACTAAACCAAAATAGTGGAAACAAAACAAAACAGATATTATGATAGATTTAAAATATCTGAAGGACAGTATGGGCTTCTCTACATAAGGCAGCTATTGTATGCCCATGATTCCTCACTCATGGTAGTTTGCAAGTGCTTTACACAATGTCATCATCCTCCAGGCCCTCTCCTGTACTTTCTAAGCATTTCTTCACTTTAGATTTGAGGAAAGTGAATGATTATCTAGCGGGATTGGGGGTTGAAGGCACTGCTTTGCAGTGGTTCCGCTCCTATCTCAACGGTCGATTCCAGAAGGTAGTGCTGGGGGACCATGTCTCTACGTCATGGCAGCTATGCCATGGAGTACCACAGGGCTCCATTCTATCCCCTTTGCTATTTAACATTTATATGAAACCGCTGGGAGAGGTCATCAGGAGGTGTGGGCTGCGGAATCATCAATACGCTGATGATACCCAGCTCTACCTCTCGTTTTCCACTAATCCAGGTGAGGCAGTGGCTGTGCTGAACCGGTGCTTGGCCGAGGTAAGGGAATGGATGAGGGCCAATAAACTGAAACTCAACCCAGACAAGACGGAGGTCCTGTTGGTTGGCGGATCGGGCTTCGGAGAGGGTGGATTTGACCTGGTCCTGAATGGTGCAACACTCCCTCTTAGGGATAAGGTCCGCAGCTTAGGAGTACTCCTTGACCCGGAGCTTTCTTTGGAAGCTCAGGTGACAGCGGTGGCGAGGAGTGCCTTCCTTCAGCTTCGGCTGATTAATCAGCTGCGCCCCTACCTGGAGTACGACTGCCTGGCGACGGTGACACACACGCTGGTGACTTCCCGCCTAGACTTCTGTAACGCGCTTTACGTGGGGCTTCCCCTGAAGACGGTCCGAACACTTCAATTGGTGCAAAATAGAGCTGCCAGGTTGCTGACGGGGACGGGGCGTTATGCTCACATGACTCCAGTCCTCCGTCAGCTTCACTGGCTTCCCATTGAAGCCCGGGCCCAATTCAAGGTGTTGATTATGACCTATAAAGCCCTAAACAGCTTGGGTCCTGGCTACCTGAATGAGCACTTATGTCCCTATATGCCCGACTGCCCTTTGAGATCTGCGGGAGAGTCCCTTCTCCGGGAACCCTCCATGAAAGAAATTAGGAGAGTAAGTACTCGGAGGAGGGCTTTCTCTGCGGTGGCGCCCAACCTATGGAATTCACTCCCCAAAGAGGTCCGCCTGGCACCGTCGTTACTGGTTTTTCGGCGCCAGGTAAAGACCTTTTTATTTAAACATCATTTTAATTGTTAAAACATATGATCTGGCCAGGGCAACTTCTTCTTCCTTCTCTTTTCTCCTCCTATATTATTTATTTACTTATTTCATACTGATAATTTTAATTTTATATTATTATGTTTGTTACTCAGTGTATTTTTTGTATTTTTGTATTTAATGGTAATTTATTATGTTCTATTGTATTTCAATGTATTTTATTGTGTTGTAAGCCGCCCCGAGGCTTCGGCAAGGGGCGGCATAGAAATGTAATAATAATAATAATAATAATAATAATAATAATAATATCACAATAAATTGGGCTACAACAAACATGCGTACTTCCACAACTGTGCTATACAGTACCACCTTGTGGCTGAGTGATGAAACATACTGGAGGGCAGAAAAAGGACCAGAAAAAAGCATGTTGTAAAGAAGTTGGTTTTAATTCCACAAAAAACATGGAAGCAGAAGCCTAAGAAGGGATGACTGTAGTTAAGAGCCTCATATAGAGAAGCCCTATATGAAATGGAAGGCCAAATATATTGTTCAAACTTCATCCCCTACCTTGTCAGATTTGGTATGAAAGTTGTGATGAAATGAATCCATATATAATATTGTTATCAAAGAGGAGGTACAGAAAACACATTCTAATTTCAGTCAAACAATTAACTTAATAAAAATGCCATAGAAATTAGTGGCTGTGAATTCCAACCTTTCAAAGTTGAATGCCTTCGGGATGGATATCGCTTGCTGGGTCGCCTTTCAAATGTACTGGTTCTGCGTAACCTAGATTCATGTGTTGCCTGGTACTCCGTTCGGCCACTTTAAAAAAAGAAGTACTAAAATTACAGACTTACAATAGAATCTTACATATCTCATCAGTAGTCCAACTGAAATCAGTGGTTAGGTAATAGCGTTAGGTAAGTGGGAATAGGCTTACAGACCAAATCAACTTCATTCCAAATGCAAAAGCTACAGCTCCTCATATTCATATATTCTCACCCCACTGCCAATTGCATGCAAATACTTGTTCAAGGAAGGAAGGGGGTAGGTGTCCTATATGATTAATGTCAGTATATTTCATTCTCCTATATTAACTAAGAGTTCATCTGGTATCTTGTGATAAATTAGAACTGATTAAGTACCTGAATCGGAAACGAGATCCCAATCTAATAAAATCTGACCGGGTAGATTTACTGTTTCCAGGTGTGCGCAACCGGAAGAAGGCATGATGCTCCACTGCACATTTCCAGAGATGCTTGCATGTTTTAGCATTGTCCAGTCTAAAAACAAATGTGTGTTCTTGCTCTCTACCCTAAAAGACAAAAATTGAAGTCTCTTCTTAAATTTGCCACACGCAATGATGTTGGAATCAATGTCACAGGTTGGGTCCCATGGTCAAGACCTGCTGAAATCATAGGAATTTGGACATTGTTATATCAGACTCAATGTAACATGAAATGGTTACCTGTTCATCATCTTCTACCACCACAAGTGTCAACTTGCTCTTCCTGAAATCCATTTTAGTGATTTTAGGCCTAAATGCACAAGAAACAGGTAATAAAATGTTAATTTCAAGAACAATAAAATACATTTATAACATGACTATCTAAATTCAAAGTTCAATTATATAGTCTTTGTTGCTTTTTTGCTATTTCACCAATCTTTGCAGGATTCCCTAATACTTAAAATTTGTAACTATTACTTTTGTGCAGCAGTGAAAAGTTCTGAAGCAGGAGTGAGGAACTCCTTTCAGCCCAAGGAGCAAATCCAGTCCCAGAAAGGCTCTTAGGAGCCACATTTCCAAGGTGATTGACGCAAAAGGCAGAAGGGGAAGGCCAAAAATGCAACCTTCCCTCCCAGCATATTGCAGCCTAAACCAGTGACCAAGCCTCATGAAATACATTTCAACCATTTAAAATGAGAAAACAACCATACAATGGCTGGCTGAGGAAAAGAAGATGTGGTTATCTGAAAAACTTAAAAATTCTGGTTTGGGACTCCAGGAAGGACAGGTTCAGTTCCCTGGTCTGAAGTTGCCCATTCCTGTTCTATCTTGAGCTAATTCTTTGGTGCATTTTATTCTTTTTACTGGCTTTTGATTGGTTCCTGGGATCAATTAAAAGTGCTGACTGCCCTCTTTCAAGATCAAAAAAGCTTAGGACCAAGGTACCTAAATTGCCATCCACCCACATGGTTAATTCCTGTCCACTTAGGCAACCTGCCTCCAAGTGAGCCATGATTGGTGGTCACATGTGAAAGTGTACAGGGCAGCTAATTGCTCTTTAGCAATCTTTATCCTGACAATATTTTATTTCATTACGCCTCTCTCTGCTCATATACTTTTTTAAAAAAAAAATCATGTTTATCTTTTAGTTGGCATGTCTTTTTATGTTTTTGGTTTAAAATTATTTAAGCTGCAACCCACTTTGGCTGTTTCTTCAGCTTAAAACAGGGCAACAATATTAGAAATAAATAATTATGTTAAGTAGTTTAAATATTGAAAAGTGCTCTCTCATTGCTAACCGTCATTATAATCTACAAACAGTCAGAAGCAACCCTGTTCTATTCCTCAGATTTTGCGGGGAGGCAGGAATTAATGCACAATAAGAGTAAGCACAAGTGGGCATGACTCACCAAAAAAATAAACCTATTTTGTTTGCTCCTTCAAAGATCAAGATACCTGTTGGCGTCAACCCAAGAGCATATTCACAACCATCTCTTCCCTACAAACAAACAGATGATGCTGTATTAAATGCCAAACTTTAGTTACAAGTCTTAAATTAGGAAAATGAAATAAGCAATGAAAGGAATTGAAAAGGTTTTTGAAAAGTATGATGCATTTAGTGAAGAAATGCCTACACGATGTGATCACCTTTTCAATATCTACAGAAATAAATTCCAGATAGTCTCTTACCTTAACTATGTGCATATCAACACCATACATTTCTAACCACTTTGCTTTGTTCAAGTAGCACATTTCTGCCTGGGCAGGACTCTTTCCCCTATCAAAATGGAAAGGGAAAAAAATCAATACAGTGGGTATATTTTCTGTTCCTTTCTAACAGTCCATAGAAAAGCAGATGCAAATAGAGAGATTTATGTACATATCCTCTTTTGGTCTCTTTAAAAGCACAGATGTTAAATTGCCCCCCCCCCTTGACCCTTCCACACCATAATTCTGTATGACTACTATACCTGAATTCCTTCCACTTCTGAAAAATTTCAAATTCCATTGTTTCAGTTTGGTTAGCAGTAAATCTGAATTCTGATACAAGTTCTGGGGTGTGTTCAGGAAGTTCACACTCGCCAAGCTCAGCTGCCAAAGTTGGAAATTCCAAATTAGATTATTCCTATCCAAATGAACTTTCCCCAGAAAATATCCCAGGGAAGATGCATCTAGAAAATATCTTTACAATTATCTAACTTAGAGAAATTCAAAATAAAACACAATTAAATGATAGAGAACATTAAGATATAGATACACAGATCCATGAATGTATTTCGGATTCAGATTTGAGACCCAATTCTATTATTCAAATTATTTTTCTAACAAAAAGGTCTGGGTAAAATGAACAGTCTCTAAAGGAATAAGGAAGGCATTAACAGTATTGAAAAGGCAGGTTGCTTACCTGTAACTGTCGTTCTTCGAGTGGCCATCTGTGCATTCACGCATATGGGATGCTGTGCCTGCGCAGCGCCTAAGGCTGGAAAGATTGCAAAGCTGAATGGTTTTTGGCAGGAATACTCTGCTCCCCTCCCCGCTACCGATATAAATGGAGTGGAGTGCCTGCCATTTCCCCAGTCTACTGAAGACCGGATGTTCACCCCCTCGCGGGAGCTAGAGGTACTGGAAGAAAATTTCACATGGGACCATGCATATTAAAGAACATGGTACCGAAAGAAAAGAACCCATTCACCGACACCGAGTGGGGCCGGTGGGTGGGTTGTGTGAATGCACAGATGGCCACTTGAAGAACGACAGTTACGGGTAAGCAACCTGCCTTTCTTCATCGTGGCCTCTGTGCATCACACATATGGGTGATTAACAATTTGTTGTAAGCCGCCCTGAGGCTTTGGCGAATGGGGCGGCATAAAAATGTTTAAATAAATAAATAAATAAATAAATAAATAAATAAATAACAAGCTTACCAGACCCGAAGGTGGGTGGTGTCATCATTGAAGAACAGCGGAAAGGACTGCCCAACCGAAGGAACAGTCCATTCTAGCATGGACATCAAGGCGATAGTGCTTGGCAAAGGTGCAAGGAGTAGTCCATGTTGCAGCTTTGCAGATGTCTTGAATTGGGATCCCCACAGCAAAGGCGGAGGAGGCTGCTACTGCTCTTGTAGAATGACCTCTCGGCACAACAGGTAAGTCAATTTTGGCAAATTAGTATGCCAACTCAATTGTCTGTACCACCCATTTCGAAAGCCTCTGTGAGCTCACAGGGGAACCTCTGTCATGGTCGGAATATTTCACAAAGAGATGGTAAGATTTGCGGAGGGATTCCGTATGCGATTTGTAAAAAGCCAGGCAATGGTGAACATCGAGGGAATGCAATGATCGCTCTATTGGGGTAGAGGGTGATGGAAAAAAGACAGGCAAAACAATGTCTTGACTGATATGGAATGGAGTAACGATTTTAGGCAGGAACGTCGAATCGGTGAGAAGAACGACTTTTTCTTTATGAAAGTTCAGATAAGGCGGGTCTATTCGAAGGACGCAAAGCTCACTAGCTTTTCTAGCCAATGTGAAAGCCACAAGGAAAGCAGTCTTCCAAGATAGGAGACGTAAATCGATAGTTGCCAGAGGTTCGAAGGGGGCTCTGGTGAGTGCTTGAAGTACAACTGAGAGGCTCCATGTAGGCATGACAGGACAAACTGGTGGATGGAGATTTTGCAACCCTTTGATGAATCTCCGAATAATGGATTGAGAAAACACAGAGGAGCCTTGCACTGGAATGCGGTAATGGGAGATAGCTGCTGTATAAACCTTGATGGAAGAAGGTTTGAGTCCCGACTGATACAGTGTCAGAAGAAACTGTAAGATGTTCTCAACAGAAGCTGAGGAGGCGGGAAACAAGTTGGATTCTGCGAAGGAGGAGAACCGATGCCATTTCGCTGCATACAATCTTCGCGCTGATGGTCTTAATGCAGATTTGAGAATACGCTGGATGTCTGGATTGAGACTGCTCGAACCTGATGTAAGGTCTAACAGACCCGAGTGAACTAGTGTTGCATTGGTACCATAATTGGCAAGTACAGCAGACCGTGGTATCGTCGGTACCGAATCAGGATCGTGAATCATTGAATTCGCCAGGCTGTGAGACTTAGTGAGGTATGGTCTGGGTGGCGAACAGCTCCTTCTTGCTGAGTTATCAAATGTGGTATGAGCGGTAGGCGGAGAAAGGTGTTGCCGGAAGAAAATGGAGAACCATGGCTGACGGGGCCACCAAAGTGTGATCAGAATCCCCGTGGTGCTGTTGTGGACAATCTTGGAAATAATCTTCATTATAAGTGGGATTGAAGGGAAGGCATAGAAAAGTATGTTGGACCACGGGATCATTAAAGCATCTCCTGTCGAGCCCGGTCCAATGCCGGCACGAGAACAGTACGCATTGCATACTCTGTTCTTGTGGGTAGCGAACAGATCTATGTCCGGGTAGCCCCGTTGGATGAAAAGCTGATTGCAAGTTGGTTGATCCAGCTCCCATTCATGAGTCGTTGACATTTGTCTGCTCAAAATATCGACCTCCTTGTTGTCGGAACCGACTAGGTGAACTGCCAGAAGAGTTATATCCCTGGGAATGCACAGCTGCATTGCTAGACAGGCCAGGGAAATGGATTTCATGCCGCCCTGCTTGTTAACATAAAACACAGCGACAATGTTGTCGGATGCAACTTGAACCACGTGTTGCTGGACAGTGTTCTTGAAAGAGCAGAGAGCTTTGAAGATCACTAGGAGTTCAACGTAATTGATGTGTTTGGTAGATTCTTGTCAATCCCAGATGCCCTGTGTTCGAAGACCGGCAAACAAGGCTCCCCAACCGATCAGGGATGCATCGGTATAGAGAGTCAGGGTTGGATGAGGTGGAGAAAATGGAACACCCATGTTCAAGTTGTGTAGAACTGTCCACCATGATAGCGTCTGGAGAATAGAAGGCGGAAGACAAAGTGGTCGATTGGGCGGGTCTCGATGTGGCTGAAATATTTTGTTGACAAATAACTGAAGTGGTCTCATTCGAAGTCTCGCATGGGGAACTGTGGTAACTGAAGTGGCCATGTGACCAAGGAGCTTCTGAATTGAAAGAGCTGGAACAGTTCTGTCTCTTTGGATTTGATGGATCCAGGAGCACAGATTGTCCTGCCAACCCAATGGAAGAAATGCTCTCACTAGAGTGGAGTTGAGACGCGCTCCAATGAAATCGATTACCTGTGAGGGAATAAGGCATGATTTCTCATGATTAATGTACAGTCCTAAATCGTCCAGAAGGGCACAAGTTATTCTCAGGGCTGAAAGAAGGATTTCCCAAGATGGGGAAACTATCAGCCAGTCATCCAGGTATGGGTAGACTTGAATACCTTGAAGCCGCAGGTGTGCACACACTGGGGCCATACACTTGGTGAAGACCTGTGGGGCAGTGGCTAGCCCAAATGGGAGGACGTTGAATTCGAACAAGTCGGAACCGACAGTAAATTGTAGGAGACGCCTATGGGACAGATGGATAGAAATATGGAAGTAGGCATCTCGCAAATCCAGGGAGGCGAGCCATTCCTCTCCCCTAAGCAACAGAAGGATATTTTGAAGGGTGGTCATCCGAAATTTTTTAGGTTTGATGAACCTATTAATGTCTTGGAGGTCCAGAATCAGACGGAGACCACCATCCTGCTTAGGGACAGTAAAATATCTCGAATAGAATCCGTGGAGCCCCTCAGAGCACGTAAACTGTCGGATCACTCCTTTACGAAGTAATTGCTGAACTTCGTCTACCAGAACCGATGAGCGAGGTGTAAATCGGATCAGTCCCGATGGAGGAACGATGTCAAATTCTATTCTATATCCGAGCTGAATATTGAATAAGACCCACCAATCAGATGTGATGGACTCCCAAATGGAGAGTCAACTCTGCAGTCGATCCCCAAAAGGGAGAGGGGAGGGTGGATGAAGGAGAAGAGGAGAGGTTCACCCGGCCTGTCAACACTGACACTTATCTGAGTCGAAGCGACGGTGGCTTTGTTGGAAGTGCTGTTGTTGGGGCTGCTTCTGACGTTGTTGATGGGGCTGAAATTGCTGCCTGTTTGGAAACTGGGGGTATGGTTGCGATCTGTAGGACAGTCAGGGCCAGGACCACTTATGTCAGCCTTGACTTGGGACTTCCATCCGACGAGCAGTCATCCTGGATTCATGGATGGACTTCAGCTTGTGATCCGTCCGTGCATGAAACAACACGGAGCCGTCAAATGGCATCTCTTCGATACGGCGTTTGGTCTCTTCCGGGAAGTTTGTTGTGAATGACGGCTCTATAGGTAAACAACCCACACGTTCGCGAGCAATAAAACTAAAGTCTTTTGTTGCTACTTATCTACAAGATTTACAACACTACAGATAAACTCTACTGTTGAGGTCTTTACAAAACAAATGCTAACTCCTTAGTGACGTCTCTCAGAGAGCCCACGTGGGACTAGCTATCTTGGTCCCACCTTTCCCGTCTGAGGTGGGACACAGCTTGCTTTTGCTCCAATCTGCACAGAGAACACCTAAGGGTCACGTGGGAAAGGTCTACTCCGCCTCCTGTGTCTCTGTGTCATGCTCAGGAGGTTCAGTGTCAGGAGGAAGGGGGGCAGTCCGCTCAGGCCCTCTATGAGCAGAACTCATAGTGTCTTTTCCCTTGGAGCTCCCTTGGTCTGACATAGGCTCGTCTGTTTGCTCAATGGGTAAAGGGTCAGGATGAGGTACGGCTATCTGTTCAGCCATTCCCAAGCTAGGTTGTGGGAGGGACATTTGGCTACAGGGTCTTAAGCATAAATCCTCCTCGTGGGTGCTGCCTCTGCCGGGGCGTCAGGCACGACAAAGTTACAGCTTCGAAGCCAGCATGGCAACAAAGAGAGATGGCACCAACCAGAGCCCTGGAGTCCGAGTCGGCATGGTGCCTCGCCGTAGTTAACTGCTGGATCGAAACATGCATGGTCTCCTTTATGAATACATGTGCCAGGTCTTTCTGCTGGTCCAGAAGAGAAGTGGTGATGTTGTCGAGCTTCTGCATTAAGAAATACTGGTACCGGGCCAGCGTGGCGTCGTAATTCGAAATGCGAGGCCAAGTCCTGAAGTGGTGTAAACTCAACGAGCCAGCATGTCGATCTTACGACCCTCCTTGTTGCGGGGCGTAGTATGACCCCTCGATTCGTGACCTTGGGACGATTCCACCACTACCGAGTTCAGCCTTGGGTGGTGCAGGAGGAATGGTATATCCTGCTCCTGAATTTGATACATCGCCTCGTACCGACGAGAAGTAGGTTGGGGCTGGCTTGGGAAATCCCAGGGTTGGACCATCGCTTGTTGGAGGGTCGTTATCAGAGGTAGGATGATGGCAGCGGACTGCTCCCCACTAACAATATCGTAGAACTTGTCAGTGCTAGGATCAATACAATGTTGGGCCTCGATCTCTAGCGACCTGGCAAGTCATGCCATCAATTCACCGAAGGACACATAAGATTCTTCTGGCGATCCCGGCCCACCCAGCATTGGGTGAAGTTGACACCACCTTGGAGTCCTCTGACTCTGAACCATATTGTGGTGGACCGCTGGAAGAGGATTCAACCGTCGAGCTGGGATGTCCCGACCTCATCGGTCTTGAAGTAGACGGTGCCTCTCTCGGTACTGGGGAGAGAGTATGGTCCCGAATCGACGGGTAGTAACTATAAACTGGGTAGTCATCCCAGGGCTCGCAATGAGTTCCATGATGGGGTTGTTCCCATTCCTCCAGGAGATGGCTTGAGGAGCGACGCTGGTACTGTGCTTGCTGGCAGACCGGTCTTGAGGGAGGCCCAGGAGGCGGCAGGGGTGATGGAGAGCGAGCCACTGGGGGGGAATCACAAATCTCCCCCTCGGAAGTTGACTCACGCAATGGTACATTGGGTTGCTCGGGAGACGAGTGGACCAAGCGTACAGCCTGTCTGGGAGAACCGGGTGGAGTCACCTGCATGGCCAACTGCAGGGCTGGACCCGTCGGTGTCGGTACCGTGGTGGCCGTCGGGATCGATGATACAGATGAACCCAAATCACAGTGTCGCGGTTGATTGGGCTTCTTAGATTTGTGGGCAGGTTTGTCTGGTTTGTCCTTTTTGGGTTTCTTATGGCCCGAGGACTTCTCGGATCCGCCATGCTTTCTCTTCTCCTTCTGCTTGTGAGGGGGAGAAGAAGGTCAATGAGCCTCCATTACCAGGGCACCATCAGCCGATGGGCGCGGTGGAGGGGCGGCAGAGGCGGAGGCAGGAGCAGGTTTAGCGGCCAGTTGATCGGACTGCATGAGGGCCTGGTCCCACAGCAGTTTTCGCAGGTGATTTTCACTATTTTTATGTGCCTGCTTAGTAAAGGCCTGACAATGGCTGCATTTGTCGATCCTGTGTCCCTCTCCGAGGCAGAGGAGACACAGATCGTGTGGGTTGGTCGGAGCCATCTTAGACCCACACTGCAAGCATTTGCAGAAAGCCGCATGCTGTGCCATCGAGAAGAGAAGAAATAGAAGAAGACAGGTAGAAAGAAAGAAGGATAATATAACTTTTTTTATATAGGAGAGATTAAGGAGTAAACGGGGGAAAAACTTTAAACAGGAAGGGATAAACTTGGAGTTATACAAGTAGTAACAAGGAAAGAGCAAATAGACAAATTTTGAAGAAGAGATAAAGGCTCGAGCCACAGCAAACGGCGGTCGCAAGGGACTGGGAAAATGGTGGGTACTCCACTCCATTTATATCGGTAGTGGGGAGGGAAGCGGAGTTTTCCCACCAAAAACAATTAAGCTTTGCAATCTTTCAGGCCTTAGGCACTGCGCAGGTGCAGCACCCCATATGTGTGATTCACAGAGGCCACAACGAAGAATTCTAGATATCACACATGAGGGAAGTAAGTCAAAACTTTAATTGAATAAACTTAAGTATTAGAACAAACTCCATTTACCACTTTTGTGAAAGAAGTATTTCACAGGAACATGGATACTATACAGGACTGGTCTGAAGCCTAGCTTAGCTCAGAAAAACAGGATTTTATTATTTACATTCATCTGTTGCTTATGCTAAGAGGCCAATCTGTATGAGTGGCTGAATGAGACATAACACAGCAAGATGTAAACTACCCTAGAAAAAAGCAAGGACCATGGAGCCTACTACCCATTCCTCTTAGGGCCAGTTCTTAGACTAAACAAAGGAGGTGTGCTTGCTTACACCATCACAACACAATGCACAGTGTCACACCTATTGTGCATACAAGCAATTAGTGTGCTTACTCTGTTTGCAGCCATTCCTGTGATCTCAGAAGCTCTGAAAGCCAGCCCATACAAAAGTGCAGCCAAAATTTTGATCAGACCAAGTTGATGACAGACATACCTTGGAGGCACAAAGCTGCCAGTTCCACAGCTGTTTCATAAGGGCATTTCAATCTTTAAAGAAAGATGTATCAGTCAGTGAAAGATGAAGCACTGCTTTACTCTATTAAATGAACTTTATATTTTATTCATTCATTAAATGTTTGTATCAACACCCACAGAAGGCATTCAAGCAGCCACTACCAAATCATTCAAAACACAGTAAAATCATAAACCTATTAAAATACTTTATAGTTTGTAGTATAGTTAGCTAGTTTGTAGACTAACTCTATGCTAGACTGTATTTAGACTTGCATCAGGTTGTAATAATGAGAAGCAAAGCCCCTCTGGATTGGTCTGTTGGTGATCAACTGGCCACTTCTGTCCCAGAGCTGTTTTCATTCTAATTAGTCCTTCTAAGAACCAGTATTTGACATTAGGAATAGATGCATGCCTGCATTTTCTTTCTTCTGTCCAGAGTGTCTGCATCCCTTTAGCCTTCCATGTCATTTAATTTAGATTATAAACCTGTGGGAAGGGAGTGTTTTGTTCTACTGGTTGTATGCAATACGTTCCAGATCTTTTTCAAGTAAGGAATAGGATAAAAAAGTTCTAAATGTTATCATACATACAAGACTATCTACACACATACATAGAATAAGCTTCATCTTCATGTCAGTAGATGCAATTCACCAAGCCCTGTTGCTGCACATTAGAGAACTATAGACATGCTCAAAAAGGGTGTACCTAAAAAGAGCCCCAAGGCTGGCTTAGACTTAAGATCCACCTAGGACAACATTCCACTGACTGCAATGAGGCTTGAGGGCATTAACCTTCTTTCACAGCTGTCCTCAGCAAATGGTATGACAAGCATGTGGGGCCTGACTATGGAGGTAGCATTTTGTCATTATAACTAGTGCCCAGTGAAAGCCTTGGAATCTGTCCAATCCCCTTAAGAACATAAGACTCGTTCAGAACATAGACCCAGTGACAATTTCTGGGATGCAAAGCATGCTTGTGATCATTACACAATCCAAGCTGAATTCAGGAGTAGTAATGTCAAGGGTCCATACATTATTTGGCTTATCTTGGCCGTGGAGGATCATTCAACCACACAAACACCTACTCACAGTAGGAAGCAGTAGAATCCAGACAAAAATTTACTACCTTTGTGAAAAGCAGGGCAGAATACTTGCAAAGCTCAGCACAACTATAAGGATGAGCCCTTGCATTCTCCCATTCTGCCCTTACCAGACTAAAAGATTCAATCACCATTGGCAACCTATCAAACCTATTTCTGGATCCCTAATCATTGTGCCCTTTTGGTGTCTCTGTCTTGGCTGATCTATGGATTGGGGGTGGAGGGACCCAGAGCAGACTCACATTACCCTTCAATTATTGGAATTCTAACACTCCCTTAATTATATACATAATAATGTAGTCACTGGCAGACCTGTGATATCAGACTATGATTAAGAACTCCATGCCCTTTAAAATCTACAAGAAAAATACCTATTAGTCATAATTACAACATGCCTATTCATTTATTTTCATGAAGAAGACAAATTGGTCAAAGGGTTTTCCACATCATGTTTAACCATTTCCCAATTAAAAGTTTCCCATTCAGAAACTAGTGACAAGAGAAATCTTTTCCTGGGGACTCTACAGAGACAGATTTTTCATCGCATGAATTAACCCTGGCAATAAGCCACCATAGCTTGGTTGTTGTAAGAACAGTGCATTCAGCAGATGACTGGGCTCTCCATAGGTAACTACCTCCCTCCCTTCCCCCTCAGCCCACCTCCCAGCATCTTAGGAGATTTTGCAGTTCAAGCCACTCTCCCCATCGGGGTTTTTACAGGGCAATGAACAGTTATTGACTAGAACATAGGGCTATAATGTCCCTGTCCAAAAAACAAACTCATAAAACCTGTCTCATCAGAATTCCTTTTAAAGGAACCCAGAGTTCTCACAGCTAGCTGTCAAAATGCTGTTCCCATGAAAATAACAAAGATGGATGGAAAGTAATTCTGCACATTCCTGAGCACCTAGCTCTCAAAAAAACAAAACAACCAGGTGTCATATAAAACTAATCCATGAGTTATCAAGGTGACTTGCTGGAGGAGGGTGGAAGAGACCCTAAGAAAAGCAGATTTGGTACCACCAAGAGAACACAGCTCACTGCCCATGGGGGAATGTTGTGTTATGCAACCAGATCATTGACAAAAGTTGCAATCTTATACATGTTTAGATGGAAAAAAGTCCTTCATCTCCCCTGCCATCTATGCTGATCCTGGGAGTTGTAGGAATCTCTTCTGTCTGAACATGCATGCATACAATTGCACCATGAAGCTGTAATCTTAAACTTATTTACAAGGAATTAAACACCCCTGAACACAGCCAGGGTTTTTACCCAAGTAAATATGCACAGGACTGCTCTGCAAAATTGCCCCATTGTATTACATACCTGTCAAAATAGATCTATCCTCTTTGCCTAGTTACTAATAATTAAAATCGATTGGCCATGCTTGCTCTTTTTCTCTATTCTCTTTCCAGCATTTGTATTTGGTTTTGTCACTTTCTAATTTTATTTGCAATCACTTTGATTTTATATTATATTAAGCAAGTTTGCAAGAAACATCGAGAACTTTTTTAATAGAAAGGTTAATTAAAATATATTACTCTTATTATTACACAATACTATACATATTTATGGTTATTAAAATAAATCTATCTTCTCAAATATGCAAAGCAGTTTTCCTAACATTTTATATCAGTATAATATCAGTATTTGTTAATTTAATACTTTCAGTGAATTGACTTAAGTGAGCATGGTATTACTTGCTGAACAGAGTACCAGAGCACTAAGAGTTTGGACCTGAGTTACCTATCTAACTGGTTTCATGCTTTCAATAAATGTGCTTCACATTCAGCAATCCCAGGTCAAAAATGTATCTCAACTATAGCAATGACAACAATTAAGGTGAACTTACTTTCCTGAAAGAATATCTTGCCTTAGCTGTAATACAAACAGGTACCTGACAAATACATAAACAAAAAATTAGCCACAGTTCATAGCTCTATATAACATACAATAATCTTTTTGGATCAGAACTTTAAAAAAGGGTTCTAGCAATAGTTCTCAAATCACTTACCAAGATACATTTCTACTAAAGCCAAAAGGATCGCTTTAAGTTAGGCTTGGAACCCCTGCTATAGACCTCAGGGCACTAGAGACTATTTTCAGTGGAACACCAAATTGACCCCCCCCCCCACCAGACCCTCTGTGGGCTGGATGATACTATGATGGCCCACCACCATCTACTCCTTATTCCACACTGAAAAAAGCCTCTGAGTTTTGCGCCTCTTCCGCATGGAGAAAGGAACTTGGCCAGCACTTGAGAAGCTGCCCCACATTCCCAGCACATTGGGTGCCATCAAGGGGAGCACCGAGAGGCTAAGTTCCCTGATAAATACCTGCTGCTATCTCCAATCTCAGAATCAGACTGGGCCTGTAGACCTGGCAGTCTGCACCCCTGCCATATTGCCTGACTGATTTATATCTCCCTAGAAAGACTGACCATAATAAGAACCAGGACATACATTTGTCGTCAAACTTATGTGAAGCAAAAATGGCTGATCTGATGATCCTAACCTAACCTGCAGAGTACATTAAGTTTAAACCAAGGAATATTTCATTCCTGTGTTGGGTGCAAAATATAAATCAATGTTGGCAAATTGAACATGACTATTTGGATATGCTGGCCATTTAAACAGTCTGATTTAGTTATATTTGTCAGGCCATTTAAAAATATTTCTTTTCATTTAAAACCATATATTTCTGAATACATTGGAAGATTTGAAGAAAGTGTTATCTTAGTTTTAAGGAGCCCCATTTTGCTTACTTTAAATATTAGAGGGAATCATGAAGATGTAAGATTATCCTGAATGATAGTGTCCTCTTTGCTGGCGGCTAAAAGCTAAACATAAGCACACCAAATTGCCAAGTGTAATGCTGAATGGAAATCCAACAGAGGAAAGAGAAGAAAAGCCATTTTACACAGTTTACAAGGAAAAATTCTTGAAGAAGAGAAAACAGCCAGGGGAACACAGGGGCCCAAAGGGGGAAAAAGGTACAAATAAAAATGGAACAGCTTTAGTCTGTTGTTTGCAGACTAATTTAACACTGGAAAGACAGATTTACTTTCAATGTTAGATGCCACTATCTAAATGGCATGGCAAAGCAGTAGCTGCTCTTGGAGGGTAAGTATGTAGTCTGCAGATTCAGAAGATGCCTTGGCAAGAAGCCTTCTGATGTTCCCCTCTTCCCTTCTCCCAACACCATCCATTTGCTTCTCTAGACAGCTGGCAGGTAAGCAGATGGAGGCTTCTACTCCTCCTGCCCTGTGGACCCAATCCCCACTGCTGATGTTGCCTACTCGCCTGCTGGTTCTTCCTGTAAGTGAATGCATGGTGATTGTGGCCTCAGAAGTATGTGGTCTCAGAAAAGCACCTGAATTGTGTTTCAGTTTGGCTAGCTAGGTCTCACTCAAAAAAAAACTACTGAATGACCAACTCATGCCAGTTTCTTCTTCCACAGGAGATAAACCAGGGCAAAACACTGAGAAAGTTGAGTGACTGGGACAACTCTCAAGATTTTCATACCTTTCGCAGGGCTAGAGGATACTGGATTTTACAGTTCTACAGAAAATCAGAAGGGAGGACCCAGGAAACTTCTCAGTGTAACAGAACGTGCAAGGATAAACAAGGGACAAGGACACCTGGTAGAGAGGATGCTACTATATCACCTTTTGCAACATGACCTAACTGAAAAATGCCACTATAAATACCTCTCTTATGGTTTGGACTCCAGATCACAATGGGGTGGTGAATACAAATGGAATACAGATAGAATATTTGGTGAATACAGATAAAAACCCATCAGTGGAGAACATTTTACACTCCCAGGCACATGCAAAATGTACCAAAGCAGCAACTTTTTAAGAAGGGCGATTATACCACCATCTGACTACTGTGACCCAAAGGCACAAACAGGAGACTGTTAGGAAGAAGATTTAGAAAAGCATAATGCCATTCAAAGCAACCTCTAACACAACTAAGCCCCATCTTTCACTACACATAAAGATGTGTAGGAATGTCAAGAAGGCCTTCTGAATGTTTTTCTTTCCTAGAGGCAGCCTTAGAAGGCTTCACCTTGAAAGGCAATATAGAAATAAATACATAAATAAAAGTAAAAAAAATACACTGTTGCAATAGATAATACTGTTGCATCGTGGACCAAATTGCTTATAAATACATAAGAAACCATTATATCAGCTGCCTTGTAAAACTCTTGATACAGAGTATAATCCAGCATCCTCTAGCCATGTCAAAGGTATGGGCTGTCCTACATTGTTGGTTGTGGGGGGGCACCAGTGTCTTCAAAGGCTTAGTAAACATGGAGTCTAACATGACAATTAGGCTAGAGAAATTGATGTCAAGAAGAAGCTACCACACTTAGGAGAAAGTGAGGCCTCGATGCTCTAAAATACGATCACACAATTAAGTGAGTTTTGTAACAATTGTGCAAAATTCTGTGTGTCAGAACAATGCCTTACGTAGAGGCATGTGCCCTGCTAAGAATGCAAAACTTCCTATACCTGAACATAGCCAATCTCACAACAGCTGCACACCACTATTAAGGAACTACAGAAAAGCACAAACCAATTTCTCTTCAATGCCACCCCCATTTCAGATGTTAGGGTTGCTAACAAAATTACTTCCTACCTTGTGAATTCCTCATGGAGGTTGTTTGGTTCTGATGAATAATATTTGATTCGAAACTGAAACATATATGGTGGCCCAACTATATGAAGAAATATTTTTAGAAGTTAAAATTAAAGGTCATGCTGTAACCAACATAAAATATCAAAATTATATAGCAAAAGCGGGGTTTGTGAAGTTGCTGAAGCCTTTGGCATGAACATTTCTTCATGTGTTTAATACTTCTAGTTTGTTTTTCTTGGAAAACAGAAGGTAGGTTCTAAGAACTAAGAAACTTAGCACAGTGCTCCTGATGTTCTTATAAGAAGGTAATTGTTAGTTTTACTAATTCAATGCTTATCAGGTACACTTGGGTAGTGCACAACACTGCATATTCATAATCAGACCAAGTTCTCCAAGAAAGAAGCACTGAATTGATTAATATTAGGAGAGAAAAATGCTTATGAATCTGTTACATGCAATACATTCTTGCTTTAAACCCCTTAAATATGTTAGCAGCTGGTAAGTGATTTGAATCTGTGTTTGAAAGTATGAAAGACTCATGACACAGATTGGTCATACTTACTTTTTATTTGCTTCTTTATGGGTTTTGAATGGTCCAACCAGTGCTAGGAAAAGAAAACCCTTGTTTTAAAAAAGTGGCAGAACTTTTAAAGGCTTTTGCACTTCAGAAAACACACTGATCTCCCAGAAAAGATCACGCTTAATGAGCACTTGTACTAATTTTTGGATTGCTGTCCACACTAGGCATTTAGTCTGGAATTGCCATTCTTTACTCTTTTTTTACAAGGTATTTGCATAAAACTGTCTCTGAATAATCATCCCATATTTCCCCTGAATCTCTTCGATTTTTATTTTTCTTAACCACACTGAAGAAAATCCAGTATTTGTTTCAAGACCAGAAGAGCACTGCATTCTCCAAAGGTGTGGATGGTCCTTAACTGTTCTCTCCAGTCTGGAGGGTGCTTCAACTAGGGCAGTGATGTATCACAAGCTGAAATCTAACACCATGCTTGTTTAAAGAAGGGGAAGAAGCACAGGGGGAAGAATCTTCTATCTGTATCTTGAGCAACAACAACAATACACAAATAAACTGTACCAGAGATAGTATGCCTCCAAGTACCAACTGCTGGGGAACGTGAGTGGGGGGCTGAAGCAGCACTCAGGTCCTGTTGTGAGTTCACCAGTGGCATCTGGCTGGCTACCATTTCAACAGGCTGCTAGGCTAAATTGGCTGATGGTTTAATCAGCTTCTATTATGGGACTCAAAGGGGAGATACTGAAGGCTCTAGAGCAGGGTCCCCACAGATGTTTTGGCCTACAACTCCTATCATTCCTCTTCAATACTGGCCAAGGCAGGGAACGATCTGCAGTAGCAAGGAGAGACTTTCAAAACCCTTCTCCAGGGACAAAACTAGGAAGAGAATCTTTGTACACTGCCACAGCAATTATTGGGAAGTAGGGCTAACTTTCACTGTTTTGCATACTTGTCTGTAGCCCAGGGCTATATGAGGTCAAGCCTAAATGTCCCCCAGCCAAATGCTATAAGGTGGATCAATCCTTTTACAACTTCAGGAGCAAGTGGGGGAGGTGATCTTCATGGAGCAAATTTTCCACCTCTCTTCTTACACACAACTGCCCAAAATGCTATAAGGAGGAAGTTCTTATTATTCCTGCTTTGCAACAAATTCTGCTGCTTGCTTAACCAGGTGCCCCTTTCAAAACTTGGCAGCAGAGAAAAGACTGGATAACCCATGGCATCTTCTTTTGCTATGACTCACTCATATTTTAAATATATGTAATTTTCACAATTTCACAGCAAAATAGCAAATGCAACAATTATTTTTGAAAAAAGACAGATTGCTTACCTGTAACTGTTGTTCTTGGAGTGATCACCTGTGCATTCAGACATATGGGCTTTGCTCCTATGCAGAGGCTATTGTTGCAAAGTTTCTATAGCTAAGCTTTCATTTTGGGCAGGAACCTCTCCCCTTCCTGTTCCCAGGAAGCATGGGGAAGGAGTTCCACCCATCCCCTCAGTTCCTAAGTAGACCACTATGGATTTCTGGACCAAGGGGAGGAGGAGAAGGAAACACCAAACTGGTCTGACCCAAAGTGTCCTTGGAAAGTAAGGGCAATAGTTGAGGGCACAACCGCAATTGGGGCCATGTGTGAATTGTGTGAATTCACAGGTTGTGTGAATTCACAGATGACCACTGAAGAACAAGCGTTATAGGTAAGCAGCCTGCCCTCCTTCTTTGTGGTCTCTGTGCATCACACTTACAGGCAATTAGTTAGCTTACCCTGTGAAGGATGACGGGATGCTGCCTCGCACAGACATCCAGTCAGCAGTGCCTGATGAATGTGGAGAGCATGGACAATGTGGCCTCTCTGCAGACATCTTGCAGGGGGTCCTGGCATGGAAGGTTGCAGACGTGGCCAGTGCTTGTGTGGTGTGGGCCCTCAATTGCATAGTGATCAAAGCTGGTGTGAGGAGAAGGGGTGGTAGGGGAAAGGCATTGCCAGCATTTGTTCCCTTCTGGGTGCTTCTGTGCCTGCCTGAAGCAAGCTGGAAAGCCACACCTTTTCTGCTGAGTGGCCACCTGAAGACCGTGAGGGTGGTCTGTGTAAGGGTTCCCCTGTTGTTGGGAGAAAGAGGTCCCTACTTGATCTAGAGGGGATTGCTGAAACCCCATCCTTGGGTCTGTGGGCCTCACTTTTTGGATGGAGTCCATCCTATCATCTGTGTGCACACTGAAGAGAACCTCCGCATTGAAGGAAAGGTCTTCAATGCAGGAAAGCACCTCCTGTGAGAGGCCAGCTGAGCAAAGCCAGGCACTTCTGTGTATGGCCACCACACCCATCATGGCCTTGGGGTCACAGTCCATATGGTGCCTGGCTGCAACGATTTGGTATCTTGTCAGCTTGAAGACTTCCATGTGAAGGGAGTGGGACAAATCTGAGCAAATCTGGGAGACACTCACTCATGGTACCAATCTTGTCCCATAATAAAAGTTGGTATCTGGCCATGGTGGCTTCATAGTTCAAGGCAGAGACAAGTCTGCATAGATGTCCCTTGTCTGACTATCCAATCAGTGCCTCTTGTGTTCAACTGGGGTCGAATGCTCCCACTGTATAATGTCCCCTGTGCCAACTTGATGATGAGAGTTCAGTTTTGGGTGCTAGAAAAGGAACAGGAAGCCCTTACCCAGCACCCAGTATGTCAACTCCTCCTTCCTTGATGTACGGAGGGAGGCAGCAGGAGACCTCCAGGACTGTTTACATAATTGCCTAAAGCACAGGAAAGGGATGGCTACTGGTGTTGAGTCCTCAGAACCCAGTGCATCCTGGTCCTGTTGTTGCTTGATCTCTAGTCCCAGGTCCGAGGCTATCTTGAGCACCTGATCAGAAAAGAGCCCCCTCTCCTACAAAAGGGATGCTGGATCCTGGATGAACAGAGCTGCCTCTGGGGACAGTGAAATCACTATGCAATGTAGTCCAGGGTGGAAGATAGAAATGGGCTTCACAATTGTCTGTGCCAAGATATCAACAGTGCCAGGAAGCAACATCTGTCCAGTACCAAGGCTCAGTGTTGATCCAGTACTGATGCCTGGTGTTGGATCTGGTACGAGGACCAGCGTCGACAGGTCATCAAAGCCTGGCAGCAGCTCCATACCAAGGTCTGGAGATGGTTTGGCAGCACAGCCTGGAGTTGACTGGTGGCAGAGAAGTAGTTTTGGCCAGACACAGAGGGATGGCAGCTGGCAGACGGCCTGCCTTTGTGTCTTTCTGGTGCCAAAGGACGAAGGTGGCATGTGCAACCTTGGTGTTGGCAAGGTTTGGCGTTGGTACCTTGGTATCAGTCATATCAATACTGAGACTTGGTACTGACTTGGTACTGAGGATTGTGATTGTCCTCATCCAAATAGCTGGGCCCATCTCCAGAGGGAAAGGATGCTGTGGATCAGTCAGAAGCACACTCCCACTCAATAAGGGGAGCGCAGGATTGATCCTCGTGTCCTCTGGCCTCTTAGCATGGCATTAAGGCTAGTGAGGCATGGTGCTTTGCTCTAAAGTCACTTTCCAAGGGTTCTGTCCTTGGTCTTACGGGGGTGCCTGGGGAGCATCCTGGAGGTGATGGGTGGTACTGGGGTGGGCTCCTGGGAACACGATCCCCTGGGCACAGAGGTCTGGGGTGGGTGGCAGATTATTGGCATGGTAGGCCAGGATCCCAGTCCTCTCCTGGCATGGTAGCAGTGATCTCCCTCTGCTCCAGGTAACAGGAGAGGCTGGCAGGTGATGGAAACTTGATGGGCACAAGTGTCACATGTGCCTCTTCCAGTGTTTGGATGCAGTGGTGGCAACAGCCATCTTTTTTCAGAGTTTTGCTGCCTTTCTCAACAAGTGGTCACCCAGTGAACACACCTGTCATGGCTCAGTTGGGGGATTTCTTGCTGCAGGGATGAAAGGATGGTCCCGTCCTTTCCTGAAGAAGTCTCCTACTTACAGGGTTTCTTTCAATGTTTGGCCTTGAACTGATCAGTCTGGTGTTTCTGGATGCATTTTGTGAAGGTCTAGACGTGCGCACGGGTCTCCAAGATATGTCCCTCTCCCCGGCAAAGAAGGAAGAGGGAGTGGCCACTGAATGGGGGCAACTCACTATCACAAGCAGCACAACTTCCTAAAGGCTGCTGACAATGCCATTGCAAAGATAGGAAGAAGATGGAAAGAAGGAAGGAGAAAGACGTACAGAGAGCATGGGCAACTCGGGTAAGGGTGGATAAGAAAGCAGGAATAAATAAATGTGTGTGTTTGTGTGTAAAGTTTTTTCTTCTGAAAGTGTGTGAAAATGGGTCAATCGAAGAGAGAGTAGCAAAGACAAGTTTGTTCTGGATAGAAGGGTGGGGGGAATGAAAGAAAGAGAATGCAGTATACATAGGCAGAGGAGAGCAAAGCAATTCCTGATCTAGGCGATATGGCAGTTACACAGAAACAAAGAAACAGAGCGAGTCAGAAGGGGCCTCCCGGGCCATCTAGTCTGACCTCCGGCACCAGCCGGCTCCACTCACGACATGCCCACCACGTGGACGTCCAGTCTATCCTTGAACACCCGCACCAATGGGGCCTCAATGACCTCTTGTGGAAGCCCATTCCACACCCTCAGGGTCCTGACTGTCAGGAAGTGCTTCCTGGCATCCAAATGGAACCTTGGCTCCCTGAGCTTTGCTCCATTGGAGCGCGTCCTGCCTACTTTTGCAGGGAAGAACAGGTCTCTACCCATCTCCATGTGACATCCCCTCACATACCTGTATGTCGTCAACATATCCCCTCTGAGTCTCCTCTTCTCCAGGCTGAAGAGACCCAGTTCCCTCAGTCTCGCCTCATACAGCATCCCCTGCAAACTGGCCACCAACTTTGTGGCCCTACGCTGCACTGACTCCAACCTGGCTATATCCTTTCTGTAATGAGGGGCCCAAAACTGAACACAATACTCCAATTGCGGGCGCAGCAGAGTCGTGTAGGGTGGTAGTAATACCTCACTTGATCTAGAAGCCACACTTCTGGCTATGGAACCAAGGGTGGCATTCACCCTCTTGACCACCGCATC